GGTGGCGGCAGCGCGGGAGGAGCGCCCGGGCGCCGGCGCCTTCGCGCGGCCTGAACCTCCGCGCGCCCCTCCCCGCCCTGACTCCGGCTCGGAGGGCGGGACGGGAATAAATACCTTTGACTTTGAGGCTAAGGTTAACGGGAACTGCCACCCGGGGCGGCGTGGGCGCTGGGCCCCCGGCCCCGCCAGACCCGGCGGGGGACGGGCGCGCGCCCCTGATTGGCTGGCGCGCCTGGCACCCCCAGGGCCGCCCCGCCGCCTGATTGGATGCGCCGCTCAGATGACCGCCTCGGCCTATCGGAGACGCCCGCGGGGCGGCCCTTTTGTTCTCCGGAACCAATAGTCGGGGTCGGCGGGCTGACCGCGCCTCCCTCGGCGCCGGAGGCGCTGTGAACGCGCTGGCCGCGGGGCACCTGACCGGCGCCCTGGGCTTCGCGGTGAGGACCGGCGGGGACGAGCCAGGCTCTGCCGGGCACCCTGCCCTGTCTCCCCGGGGCCCTCCCGCCCGGCCCCGCAGGCCGCGCTGTGAAATCCACCCCGTTCGTCCGATGCGCCTGGGGGAAGAAGCAGGAACCCGCTCGGACGCTCACACTCGAGTGTGCATGTGACGTGGTGGTGGTGCGGGCACCACAGCGCACCAGGTGTGAGTGCGATGTGCGTGTCTCGTGTGACGGGAGAGAAATCGCCCTCCGCAGCCGCGCGGCCCTGCACGCCGTGGGCGCGACCAGCGGTCCCGGGGTCTCATTCAACCCAACCCCCGGCTGCGGGTGGAGGAAACAGCCATCTGGGATCGAGTGTCCCCGCTGCTTTAGAGGCGGGTCCGGGTGGCCAGGGAGGGTCTTCTGTTCCCGGAAACCTTCAGGAAGACTTTCCTCTCCTACCCCCGGACTGGAAGTGCTCCTTGGTGTCAAATTCCTCACCGGGAGCCAGCCACGTCCGCTCCCACGGGCAGGTGCTCTCGGGAGCTGCTTAGAAACCGCCTTTGGGACGGAGGTTGCTACCAACAGGAACGGGGCGCTGAGACTTCCTGCAAACCTTCCTGGCAATCACCAGTTACATGACCTTAAGCAACTGCATTCATCTGTAAAAGAAGAGTACCTACCGCACAAGATAATTTAGGAACACTTCTTTGTCAGGTGCCACTCACCTGAACAATTTGTGGCTATTATTAAGCACCAGATTATGCCAGGTGCCATTAACCTGTGCAGAAATTAACGAAGACTGGCAGAAAAGG